AATAAGTAGTTTCTGTTTTAGATTGAAAGAAATCAACCCTTAAATAAATTAATGACGAATAAATTCCTAAAGAAAAGTAAGTTAGTATTCTAGTAAAATAATTAGATTCGAAATTTTATTTAGAGGATATTTTTTGTATTATGAAAATTAACTTTGATTTCATTTCTTAAATTTATGTAACATCTAAAATTCCAGCTTAATAAAATTAAAAGAATTTTAAGACTAAACTTAAAAAGAATTATATCTTATCTGCAGACAAGCTTATCTTGTTTATGAGACTATTAAATAATATCCTTCACATACTTAACTTAGCTCTTCACGTATATCCTAAGTTTCATTGAATAGCGATGAAATCTTTATTTATAATATGAATCTAGACCGCGCAGTAAAATATCTTAATGAAGCCGAATTCCCATTAAAATCAAGAACTATATTGAGATATTAGTTCATCTCCATCTGGTCTTAAGATCTTACGGCGCCAGTTCTAACAAAGAAGTCTGGATTTTATAGATCACATGACACGAAGAATAATTATATGTTACACGTTAAAAAGGACACTTATCTTTTGGAATTAATACTGAAAATTTGCGTCCCGAAGCTCTGCTCCCCATGTACATAATTTATAAATAGATTTCCTTATTCTTTTCCTCAATAAAAGCCTTGAAAAATTAGTATGTTGCCATCCTTATAAAAAAGGATATTAAAATATGACTTCAAATATTATAAACCACAATAATATTAAAAAATAGAAGTCACAGTTAGAAAGTTATGCAGGAAATGTGAGAGAAGAGCACTGCAAAATTTATATCTATTTATATTTAGAAATTTCGTTCTGAAAAAGAAATCAAAGTTAATACAAAAACCCTATTTCCAAAATGATTAACGATTTGAAGACAGATTGAAGTGTGCTGTCTTGTTAAGGAAATTAGGGAATTCTTTCGAAAATATTTTCGAAATTATTTACAAAATATGTCAATAGATGGCATTGATTACCAGAAAAACTGTACATTAGTGTTTTCAATTATATGTCAGATTTATTCACAAATTTTTCCTCCGATTGAGTTTATTTTAAAAATGTTATTTTTAATTAGCAGTTTTGTTATCTATTCCCAAAACTACAGAACAATTGCTTAAAAATAAGAGCAAATGTAGGAAATAATCGTAAAATTATTGGAAAAAAGGTAAAGTTACGTTACGGAAAGCAAATCTCAATGACAAAAACTAGAATTTTTTCTGGCAATTTCAATCCATATATGGGGTGAACAAAAAGAAACGAAACAACGAATAAAAAAAACGAGTATTTTTTTACAATGTACAGAAAAACAAATAGAAGAAAGGCGTATTTTTTTTTAAAAACACATTTCCATTTTCGCCTGATTTTGATCCCCCCAGAAAAGATTTATTTTAGTCATATTTTTGGAATGCTGAGAAACAAAAATTTCAGTGCGACATTCTCCCTCATCAATATCCAATTATTAAAAACCCCGTGATGCGTATAAGCTTTAAAGCAGGATAAAAGCAAAGTTAAAAAATACTGAACAGTTGCATATATTAAATGGTTAACAAAAAAACATTTTTAAATTAACAAAATACCAGGTTGATGTCTTCTTTCCAAAAAGTACCTCCCTGTTTAATGATTCAAACAGTAAATGGAATATTCGAAAGTCAACAAATTGAATGTTTAGTTTCATTGCTTGCATACATTTTGGTTAAAATCGCAAAATCTGTTTTAATGGGATCAATAAAGTTAAATATGAAATAAACATGCTTGAACGAAGACGCAAAGTAGTTCATACATACTTTTACCTGTTTTATTATTCTTGTTTAAATTTTCCAGTTTTGCATTTATGTATGAAATAAGATTGAACTATTTTTGTGAAGCCTTTACTTTATGTTTTTCACAACACAAACGAGTGTTCTTTTTACACAACTTACAATTTGTCTGCTATCCAGCCTGGGTAATGAAGTGATTCACTCCCTCAAAACGTATGTTAGTATTTGGACCATGTGGTCCAAGTCCATTCAGCACAGTTTCTTGTGTTTTAGATTTTATTAAACACATGACTACATCTCGACGAAATGTTAATTGTGACATCCGTCCATTCACCTCGGGATGAATCCTCCATGCTGCTATCACAACATTTTTGCGAATTTTTTAGGTTTTACCTGCTTATTTTGAATTGTGGACAAATAATCTTCATCACTCGAAGAATACTTTTCGGGGAAAGATCTCGTCCTCTTTTTCGCAGATGATTTTTCCCTGAAACATTCCGTGTTTTATGACGTTTTTTTATTCAGCTCAACTTCTCCGCAGACGTCTACTGGCAAAACTTTATCTACATCATTTTCTCGAAAATCTTCTTCGTCAGTTACCTAACTTGGATCTTGGTGGTAAGAACGTTATACTACATTCATCACCTGAGAATTCATCAAAATCTAATGTTTTAATATTATCCTATGCCTGCTGTACAGTTGAAAACTTACGTGGCATTCTTAAAAAGTTCCTTAATAAAAAGAGCCACACTCACCGAACGATCAGATCAAAATACTGAAAAAAAATTTTTATCCTACATTTTGAAACATTCTATGTATGGAATATGGAAGGGGTCACAATGAGGGTTCCTTGGGGTATTCATCCACTTTTCCTTCGAGGTTAATATCTTCCTTACCTGTACTATGCTTGATTCTTTATCGCTTTACGAGATCATCGCCAACAAAACCGATTATTTTTATTTTCTGAAATGCCGGATGCTATTTAGGCAAAGTATGAAATAATCGTCCTGATGAGGTTATTATGTAAATGATGTGCATGTTACTGTGAATGACCGAAATCGGTGGTTGTTGACTTTCACCGGTGAATGTTGACAATCAAATAGTCACGTTGGTGAAAGTCCGAAATATTTATTACATCCGATTTGATATTAATTTATTCGTGGATATAAT